GGTTATCCGCTCTTTTCCTCTGTCCCCCTCTTGTCATATGAGTTTCAAATTTTCCATGTTCTTTTTCTTCATTAAGTACCTCTTTCTGATGTGTCCTTTTTATTTCCATTTTCTCTAAAAATTCGTCATTGCATACATGGTATTCTCAGCATGGTATTCTCAGCATCCTTCTGTAGAACCACATTTCTGTTGCTTCAGATTGGTATTCTGTGTCTTATTTTCGTAACTAGCAGAAATTAATACGCTAAACTTATTCCGTTACTTCCCATTTTCAGTTAGCTTAGAGTTTTTGTTTTTGTAGTGGGAACAAATCATTCACTGCATCCTACAGGTAGGGCTGATTTCATCCCCCGCCTTAACTTTTTGGCGGAACAGAGGACTAAATTTGCCTTCTTGCCACCCCCTATGATAATGCTATTGAGCTGAGTTTTATTATTTGTCTAAAACCCTTAGTGTCATTAATTTTTAAAATAAATTATAAAATTTCATCTGCTCTGGTGCTCCTTCTATATATTTAGAGATTCTTGATAAAATCCAAAGAAGAATCTGCAATGTTATTGGTCCTAATCTAGCATCTCGGCTTCAGTCACTTTCCTTCCACCGTAATGTAGTTTCCCTGTGCCTTTTCTATAAATACCTTCATGGTAATTGTTCTTAGGAACTTTCCTCTATAGACAAATTGTACATATGGAAACTACTTCGGATTACAAAGAGACGTTGAGGTATTATAGTGACTGTAGTAAGAATAGTAAGTAAGAATGGGTTGTTTTGCTGTAAGGAATACCGTGCTGTTTGGATCAGTAATTGTGGCTAGCTAAGTTTAAGATGAGACAGATTGAAGAACAGCCTTTCCCTACCCCACTTTTGGCCTTCTGCCACATTTTTGTATTATATCAAAATAAATATTACTTTCCTCCATGGTTCCTAGACTTTATGAGTTTAAGCGCAGTACTAGGGTGGTAGCAAGATCTCATCATTTTACATATGAAATGGCTAGATGTTAGCGTAAGTTCTATGCTAACAGTTTCTTCTCTCGCGCTTCTCGTTTTTGGAACTCTCTCCCGGATTCTTGCTTCCCTGTCAATTTTGATCTTCAAAAAGATCTTGTTAGAATTTGAAATACTATTTTTGTAACTATACCTTACCCTAGGGTATCTGTGCGTAAGTGAATATAACAAACTCGAGTGGAATTGGAAGACGGCTTTTCTATTTCCAGTTCCGAGCCGTTATTCATTACATACATCCAAGCTTACAGAATTTGGTATTCCCAAGCAGTCATCTATCTAGGTACTGACCAGGCTCGATCGTATCAGAACCTGTTTCTCAATGTGATATAGCTGCAAGCAATCTAGTAAGAGTAAATGCATTAATATTACAATTAGTGTATAAATCTTTTGAATACCTTCATTTGCTTCTGCCTTTTTTTTTTTTTTTTCTATTTTTCTCTTTCCTTTTTTTTCATCCTTACTAACCTTTGGCTGAACATTCTCCGTATTTCTTACGTCGTTTCACGCATTGATTCAGGCACTCTCGTACCCTTTCAGACACTCTCGTACCCTTTCAGACACTCTCGTACCCTTTCAAACACTCTCTCGTTTGTTCACACTAGCGTTCCTTCGCTCACGCATTCATCCTTCAATTCATTCTCTCGTTCGTCCAATCAAGCATTTTTTTTCATCTTTTTTTTTTTTGATGAATTCTTTGTCGACCTTTTTTTGTTGTTGTTGTTGGTATTTTCTTTCCGAATGTTGTTTTTTTACTCTACTAGGAAAGAAAACATATTTAATTAGCCTGTTACATATCACTGCATTTTATTGCTATTCGAAAACCATCGGAATTAAGCCAGTCACTTATATCATCATCGATATACACTTGCCGCAATCCGTACTTAACAATTGAAAACTTTATTTTGGAATAGACAGTTTTTTTTACTAAGTTCTTCAGAGAGCAATAAGGTAGAAGAAAAGGTATTTCGCACCATTGTCTTTTGGGAATTTCTTAAATTTTAATTCGATAAAAGGTTATTTGAAATTTTTACATAATATAATCTTTTCCCGTTTTACAGAAACGTAGTTGAGTCAATAAGCCCGTAAACTATTACTGAAAAAAAGAATTTAAAAGAAAGACATGCAATAGCTTGGCTTTTTCCATTTTTTGAAAAAAGGCGTTAAAATTTCGTTACTGTTGTAAGTCCACATTCAGTTATGTGTCATGCGTGATACTTAAGTGATCATGTATCTTTTGATACATGACTAACGAGGCAGATTTTTCCCGCAGTAGGTTGCCATTTCTTTCTGCGGTAGACAAGTTGCCATCCAAGACTATAAAACCCGGTCTGTCCTCCTATTTACCCATAAAGAGAGAAGAAAAGGTTTCATATCTTTCCCAAGAGTGTTAGCAGGTGAGTGTAATGGATTTGACTGGAATTCGAACTCAGGTCTCCGATTCCTCAATCCGAGCAACTATCCATTACTCCACCGTGCCTTTGGAATTTTTCCGAAAGAAGACAAAAAAATTTTTTTCTTATAAAACTAAGAAAACCTTAAAGTTTATTTCTCTCATTCGAACGCGAATTTAAATTTGTAGGAGCTTAAAAAAAATAATTTTGAGTGTTATTTTACACTTGTAATTTTTCAGAGATTGTTTTTTTCATTTAAGCAAGTGACAGTTAAGGAGTCATATTCTTTTGAATAGCTTGAGTGTATTCTTTCCAGATGTAATTAGATTGTGTAAGTATAATCTTTACTTTAAGCTTTACAATGCTCTCAAGGAAATAAACTTGTCAGAACCCCACAAAAATTCTCTTACTTTATAAAGGGTTATAGAATTATGCCATCGCAAAACTGAAAGAAAAAGTATTGGATATTCCATTGATACTCGCGCCATTGTCCATCCAGAAAGAAAAGACAACCTGCAGTCGGGAAAAAATGGGATGAGGAGCTTTATACACAGGAAGATTAGTCAAAATAGCTTCTACTGACCGAAAGTACACAATCACTTTTTGTTCAAGAATTTTACGTCCTGGGAAGGAATCATTGTCTCTTAACATGTTGCCAATTAAAACGGTATTTCTAGTTTATAGAAGTTTACAGAAGCAGACGGCAACTGTCAGAGAATATTTATTGACTTCTACAAAGAAAAGGGTTCGCATTTCTTCTGAAGAGTAAAAAATTTACCTGCTTCCAGATGAGAATTCTAAATATCTCAGAACTGATAAATTCAGAGAGAACTACCTACAACCAACAAGAAAGTTAGAGATGGGACTGTTTTACAAAGTATTCGAACACTGATTCTATACAAAAAAAAATTACCAGTGTCACTTATTGCAAATAAATTTTAAATAATAATTTCATTCCCTTCATCCAACAGCTTTTTCATTTCAACCTGGCAAGGGTATTGGCAATAGGATAATGCTCCTACTCACTATGTTAAATCAATCAATTTTCTCCTAAAATGATAACATTTAGATTATTTTGGTCTGGAGGGACTCCAGGCAACATTTATGCTGAGAATTCGTGGAGAAATAATAAAGTCGAAACTGATTATAGAAACTTTCAAAAAAAAATATTCATTATTTGCTGAAAATAAAAATTTAAAAATGATTGACAGATGCTAGAAGAAAGACAATAAGTATTGATTATTAAATTTTGTTTGCAACTTAATAGATTTATTTATTTATTAGTTCAAAATCTTTGGCAGACATTTCATATTTCCGATTGGAAGACATACACACACACACACACACACACACACACACACACATACAGTCAGTCAGTTATGTACCATACGGGATACACGGTTAGGTGATCATGTATCGAAAGATCACATAAAAAGTCGCCTAAGTAGACCAGTTGCCATCCAAGGCTATAGAACCTGGTCTGTCCTGCTATTTACCCCATAGCTGGGGGTAGGAGAAGAGGATCCATACCTTTCCTAAAAGTATTAGCGCGTAAGCGAAATGTAACGGATTCGACTGGAATTCGAACTCGGCTCTCCGATTCCAAGTCGCTATCCATTACTCCACCGTGCCTCCTCGCACATGAGTTTCCAAAACCTTTTCAGCACCCACTCATCTCTCTCTCTCTTACTATATACATGTATGTGTGTGTGTGTGTGTGTGTGTGTGTGTGTGTGTGTGTGTGTGTGTGTGTGTGTGTGTGTGTGTGACAAAATAGTCTCCTTAAAAGTGGATCTCATGGCATGAAACCACGAGAGATTTTCAACAGCTAAGAGAAAAAGACAATACAGGCGTACGGTAATTATGAAAAAACATTTAAAACAAAACGTATTTACTTTTCAACATAATCTCCTTCCTTGTCAATGCGCTTAATACAGTGATGAATATTAATGACACAGATCGAACATTATATAATGAAAATTTCAAACTATAAATTAACTAATCTCATGTCAAGCTACGATCTTACTGAAACACTCTCATACATATTGTATATGTGTATAATATACAGTACACATATACAATATATATGAAATGTGTGCGTATTATACGCACACATTTCATATATATATATATATATCAAGTTGGAACACGGTCAAGACGTGCTGAGCGTGTTTGGATATTTTCTTTTTAAATCCCATCACTATAGATCCACATAAAATCTACATATTCAGTTTTAGAAGTTTTAAAAAATTCTTGATAATGGCTAATAGAATAACCGAAAGCGTTCATATATATAGAACATTTGGACAGTTTTTACAGTACATACTCTACAGTCTACACCCAGAAAAGAAAACACTTGTACGAATGCAAGAAAAACTGAATAAAAAAGCTTAATTCCAGTACTTTGTTAGTCGTCTTTAACGAAACTTGTATAAAAGAGGAATTGTTGTCCAAATACACAACGTGTGTGTGTGTGTGTGTGTGTGTTTGAGAGAGAGAGTAGATAGGTGCGTATTCAACTCGTCAATCGATTGTCAGAAAAGATAACGGAGAAATGATTTTTGGTCTTAGTAACTGAGAAAAATATAAATAAATTTCTTACCTGTTCTTTTTTCACAATGTCCGGTCTTTGGAATATAGACAGCTGTAAGTAAAATAATATCCTTTTTTTTCCTTGTTTGTCTCACTTTCTTTCTCTCTCTCTTTAGTTCTTAAATTCTCAGTTTTCCAACGTCTCGACATCAACAACAACAAAAAAAATGACCGTAACTTTTAACAAATTGTATTTGGTTATTTATAGAAAGCATCGTCGCAGTCCGTAAAACAACGTGGGATTCTCAGATGTCTTAAACTACAGCGTTTTCCTTAGATTTCTTGTCGGCTCAATTTATAATTAAATAAACCAAATAGAATGGATAAAAAAAATGTAAATCATTTTTCCCAAAACCGAGCAGAATTATTTTCTTAAAGCAATCACTACGGAAAAATGACTATTTAAAGAAGCCTTCTTGTATCCACAAAAAACTGGAAAAATGTGGTCTTCTAAATAGGAGAAGAAACAAATTATATTTTTTTAAGAAAGAGAAAAGTTTTTCCTTCGTTCACCGGTGGCTTTTACTTAAATTTACATTTGTAAACGTCACCTTCAGTGAAAGTAGTGCTTCTTAAAGTATTGTCACTGAAGAGAAGATCTGTTTACAGCGCAAACGAACGACCGAGAGATGTCAGTGGATTGCTATGCTATACTGAGCCATGTGATTTTTTTCTTCTTTTTCTTTTACAACTCTACTTACATTAGGCGGGAGAAGGCAGAGGAAGAGAGAGTTTTAAAAAAAAATGGGCCGGACGAATTGTAAGAGAAGAGGAGAGTTGAAGACTAAATTGGGTGTGGGTTAGAGTGACCACTATGAACAAATTTCATATGAGTTTGGTTTTACAGTTTACACTCAAACCAGAATTTTGTTTTTGTTTGTACTTTTTGTTTCTTGTTCTTTGTTTTGTGTTTTGTTTTTAATTTTTTTGTTTTTTGTTGTTGTTTTTTTGTTATTGTTGTTTTTTTGTTTTTTTTGTTTTTTGTTGTTTTTTTTTTGTTTTGTTTTTTTGCTGTTATACAAACCGAACCGGTATTAAGAAACAAAAAAGAAAGAAACAAACAAACAAGCAGACAATTTACGAAGGCAAATGTGTGTAAAAGTTTCCAGCGTCCGCTTTTGTATAAGCTGGAATGGAGTGTGACTACACCAGAGAGGAAACCGGTTTTGGAAACTTTTGCAGATATTTAAATGCACGATGACAGAAGGAAGACAGTTGAGTTAATGCAATAAATTTTCTTTTTTAAATTTTTTAAAAAATTAGGAAAGTAAAAAAAGATAAAGAAAAGATAGGGTTCCACAAGAAGAAGTCACTTGGGGTTCCGCGAGAGGTCACTAGGGGTTCCGCGAGAGGTCACTAGGGGTTCCGTGAGAAACCTAACATAAGAAAGTGATAAAGAAATGAAAGGAGGAAAAATATTAAGAAAGTAAGGCATGTAGGAAACATATCAAATCTAATGTTAAATAAACAAGGGAGTTTTTTTTTAGCACCTCGGCGTAGTGTAGTGGTTAGGGAGTTTAATCTGCTTGACCTATGCATAGTCATTTTGATCCTCATTGTGGTATTGCCGCTAAGCTTAATAAATAATAATACTGGAAACTTAAATTTTATCCAAAATCATAGATCGCACCTTGAAGTAAAATGTATCAGGTCCATTTAGTGCTTTTACTCTCTTTCCCTCCCACTCTGTTCATTCTATCCTCTTTTTTCCTCCCACTCTCCCCTTTTCTCCTTATTCTTCTCCTACTCTTTCTTCTCCTCCTAATCTTCGTTTTCCTCCTCCCCCACTTATTATTATTCTAATCCTTTCCTCTAATCCACATCTTTCTTCTTCTTCTTCTTCTTCTTCTTCTTCTTCTAGTTTTCCTGTTTTCAGTTTCTTTCTTCTTCTCCTGCTTCTTCTTTTTCTTTTTCTTCTTCTTCCTTCTCATTCTCCTCCTACTTCTACTTCTCCTCCTCCTCTTCTGATTCTTCATGGCACGTGTTTGTGAAAATGTGGGCGGGACTGAACCTCAAATACACACATTTACTAGTGTCAACTTCTCCAAAGAAATCATGCACCAATATAGGGAGCGGCACAATGAAGAGTGCATGCACACGAGTCATGAGTGCCTATTCGTAAATGTCTATACGTGTGAGTGTACTAACAACTTGAGCCAATATTTCTCAAACTGCCAGCGTTTATTCACACGACAGGCTTTTCTTTCTCTCTTCTTAAATACCCTGGATGGTCTGTCTGTTGTTCGCAACAATTTTAGCTGAAAATCCTGACTCACTGTGTTCCTTCGAAAACTCAAGTTCCAGTATTAATTATATAATACATTATTCACCAATAATATTCAAAATTTAAAAATGAAAATAGCTGATGTGTAAAGTTTATGATCAGACTGCTCTCAAAGCGAGTAATGAAGAAAGATCTATATATATATATTTCACAAATTACACAAAAGCATTTGATAAGGTATGACATAAAAGCCTACTTGAAATACTAGGAAAGCTTGATTTATATGGGAAAGATAGAAACAAACAGCCTGTACGCTAATAAAGAACGAGTTCAGTTAATAGATGAGTTGGGGTCAAATATAGGTCAGAATCTGACAGAATGATATGATAAAGAACGAATAGGAAACGTTTATCAATCTAACATGAATCACTTTTATTAAAACTTCATCAGAGTATGAGATAGGGAGAAAAAGAAATTCTGTTATTTTTACTTTTGTGTTGTTTGATTTTCATTGGTCAATCATGTATCACGCGCATTTGACCCTTTTAAAACAATCTTAGTATAATTTGTGACGTTCTGAATTCAAGGAGAGATGATGTGTCCATTCTAAATTTAAAGAAATTAACGGATTCCAACCCTATCAGAAAAATCGTAACTTGCTTCATGTATGTAAGTGTATACTAATTCTAGTTTGCTTATGTGGGATTCAGATATAATAATGTATATTCGTAAGTGTGTGGAGGGTGTCTAGTAGAAATGTTTGTTGATTTTTCGCATGTTGATTTGGGAGCGTTTTTACGTACACACCGTTTGTTTCAGATAAACATACGTTAGATTCCTTAAGAACGGATTCAATAAAGGTTGGTGATGTTTTTTTTACTAAAAATGGACTAAATCTGAATAAGACAAGGATGTCTCATCTCGCCGGATGTATTCAACCTATTTATCGAGACAATCCTAAACGGAAAATCTACCATGATATATTATTATCGGTGGCCATTAATATGAGATACGCGGATGACAGAAAGAATAAACTATTAATGCATGGTTGTCAGCAAAAGAGACAACATAAGATATGAAATACGTGTTGGAGATGTCAAGCAGTTACAAAAATTTAACAATCTCAGTATTGTAGAAACAGACGACAGAAAATGTAACACAAAAATCCGAATAGGAATGACGAAAGATGTCTTTCAGAAACTAAGCTAAGTATTAAAAAAGAGGAAAATATTCGAAACAAAGAAAAGCGTGCTGAATTGCTATGTAATTCTATATACAACAGTGAATGATAGATAATTTCCTCACAATTTGGGACGATCGATATATGATCCTACCAGCAAATGCTGAGAATAATACGGATTGTGAGCAGCGTGAAATTTTTAAGGAAAATAAGAATTATAAAGAACCTGATACTTAAAATCAGAAAGTTTGATTTGTTTATTGTTTTGTTTTTTACGGCTTATCAATATTTCTCAGGTTATTTAAAGCCAGAAAAGATTTTTAGATTGTAAGAATCTTTTTGGGGATAATAATGATTTACTAATACAAGTACTACTAACTAACCCATAGCTTGAGGGAGAAGAGGTGGATTCATATCTTTATCAAGGATATTTGCACGTAAGTGAATATAACGAACCCGACTATAAGTGGAACTCGGCTAGGTCATGTGGATAAAAGCGGTGGTTGAGTGATCCAAAAAGTGATTTGACCCAAAGAGTTGTGAGTTCAATACCTTTCCACAATAGAGAGAACAAAAACTTGGAGAGTTGAGTTACTAAAGGGAATTAACTGAAACTGAGATATCCAGAAAAGGCATGGCATGTGGAATTAGAACAATCTATCCCTGTTGACTAAATAAAGGATTCGGTTCGAAATTCCAACATATATCATTTGAAGAAGGCCAGAGTGTATAACGAAACGTCATGAATATGGCAATAAAGATGAGGACAACAGTCCGAATGATGTAAACTGTGTAAATACTCTTGAAAGAGGTATTGACCTGTCCAGGCCTACGGTCCTGGTAGAAGACAACGACTTGAAGAAAATAATTAACCAAATGGAATAAGCTTAACTGAATAAAACAATGATACAATCTCATCACAGTATTTTGACAAGTACACCCCAGGCCTCATTAAACAATCAGATCACTATAATTGAAGTATTTTTACTACTTTATCTATCATTAATTGTAATTAGGTTGAATATAATCGCTTATTGAAGGCAGATCTAGCACAATAATAGGTGAGGTTATCTTATTTAAATTATTAGTTGTTATTCTTAGGTCTTCTTTGAATTCATTCTTCACCTCCATAATTATCAACGGTGTACGTGTGTTTAACAGTTTTTACTCAACTGTTTTATTCAAGTCGTTGTTTCCTCCAGGACTGTGGGCCTGGTAAACGATAGTCAGTTTGAGGTAAGAACACATGTCTTCCATCCGCCCCCATCGAGAGGTTAATAACAGGCTAAATTTAACTGTCTTGCTTTGGTTGTCAACCACTCTCTAAAAATGACATTATCGAATTCAAAACCATAAAACTCCACTTTTTACAGAAACTACAGTAGACCTATCATGGTGTGGCTGTGGCCGTATTATGGTGTGGTTGTGGCTGTATACGCGATAGAAGATTCAACATTGATTATAAAAGGTGTTCCAATAACTTGGACCGATTTTAATGTGAATTAAGTTTAAGCGTCTAATGATTTTTTTCTTTTTCTTTCAGAATTGACGGACATTTGGGCGATATTATTTTTCACACATAATTGCCATGATTTAAATAACACGATCCAATCGAAAAATAAATAAATTTTCGCCAATATCACTAATT